GCCCTTATCCCTCCCTTCCCACCCATCCTCCCCAGTCCCTTTTCCTTTGGTAACTGTTAGTCCATTCTTGGGTTGTGTGCTTCTGCTGCTGTTTTGTTCATCTGGGTACATTTTTTAAACCTTGCTTTATATCAGTGAAAATTTATTCAATTTTCTTTTATGTGATTTTGCAAAGTAGTGATGAGGCTTTTTTTTTTTCTTTCTGAATTGGGTAAATTCTACCACCTTTTTGGCATTTTTTGTTCAAATTTAAATCTCAAATAGATTAGATTCCACACTTTAAGAAACATTTATTTTAAATCTAAGATTGCCTTTAATGATGTCTTAAGTTTAAACCCTAGCTCCTGAAGTCATAATTGTAAGTGCACTCCTGCCCTTCACTAAGATAAATATAAATGGGTCCCTTGAGATAAGCCCTCCCTTGATTAGTGGTTCTTTGGCACTGCAGGCTCCTTTGATAGTTAGCTGTGCCTGTGGTGAAAGGTGTATTTGGGCTAGCGTCATCTAGTTCTCATTCTCTTGCTTTGTTTATGACAAACTGCAGAAAATAGTTCTAATTTCTAAATAGAAATCATTTCTTAGAATTCTATCCTGTGGGACACAGAGTCATAGTCTTGGAAGAAATATATCCCAAATTTACAAGAACTTCTGTGCATATATTTCAGTAATTCAATATTCAATAAGTATTTGCTGAGCACCTCTTGCATGCCTGGTTCTGTCCAAGTACTGGGTATGTAATGGTAAATAAGTAAGGCACTGTCTCTTTCATTGTATATTAAAGTTTAACTGAGGAATTTAAGTCCTACCTTCAAGACCTTACATGACTCTTCCAAAAGTTTCACAAAATTTCTGTTTCCTGTTTCCATATAGATCATACAGAGGACTCTTGTCCATCTTAAATCTGAACCACTGTTTAATTTGATTTCCCATCCTTTGTGCAATCAAAACTAATGTTGTAATATTGTATGTCAATTACACTTCATTAATCTAAATGTTCTGTGTTCTGTGTTCTAACTGTGAGACATCACTTTTTTATCTGTTTTCTTTCTCCTCCCTTCCATTGCCCAAAAAATTGACTTTCTTTTTCTCAGCTTTTTTATTTTAAAGAAATAAACATTTTGTGTCTTCACAAGGTTACTATTACATATGTATGAGACTAGTTATAATTCCATTAAGCTGTAGATAAGATGTAGTTAATGAAGTTTGGCTAGGTTCATTTATTAGCTAAATGTCTTACTTCTGCTTTCCAGCCTTAGGGAACATACAAAACATAGTTACTTATCCTGCAGCAAAATTAAAAGTTGCAAGTTATGAACTCTTGCATTAACTGAAATAAATTGAAATCAGGTATGTTAATCCTGAAGATACCAAGGGCCTATGGTATTTCCAAGGGTTAGGTTTTCAGCATGCAATGGCTACAGTGCCCAACATCCCTACATGGGATGCCTTTAGACATCTGAGTAAACTTAACAATCACAGGTCTAGGATGAGGAAATATAGAAGCAATTTCTTAATCCTAGACAAGGAACAGCTTCTTGATGGCCTGCCTCAAGGATTTCTCACTGCCCAGGCAGTACCATCTCTGAGGGCAAGGCTTGCAGTAGAACTTCTGGCTGTCATTGGCTCAACTCTTCCCCTGCCTCAGCCTGTAGAGACCAGGTTCTACAAGCAGAGTATAGCTGCCACATCCTTTCATCTTCTAGTGATCAAATCTCTCTAGTGATTATATAAAGAGTATTAGAGCTAAAGACCAGTGGAGGGAGAGTTGAGCCCTGCCATGACATCAGGTGCACAAGGAAGCAGGTCCACATTACAGCAGTTCAGGATACTGTTGGCAAATGGCAGCTTGTTATCATCCTGTCATCCCAGGAGAAAATGTAAGCCTTTGACTCTCCCAAACTACACAGGTTTAAAGTTGAGGGGCTTCAACATTAAGGGGTCTTTTAAGGAGAATTAGAAAGGCTCCTACTGAGACAGCAAGAGGGAGAACCAATATCCTAACATCCCTTTTGGGCTGTGGGCTAGTCTTTGAGGTGTGCAACGCTATGCTTAACTTCTACCCAGCCCATCTATAAATAAAAATGAGGACATCAAGGAAAGGGAAATGAGGCTTTAAACAAAAGAATAATGTGAACTAAAGATGATTGAGGCAGTTAATACAAGAAACTACGTAGGTGTTTACGTAGATTTAAAAAGTCTCTGATAACACTACACATCTAAAGGGAAAATAAAGCAAGAGTAGAAATGAGTAAAACAGTAAAAAGGCCAAACTGAAGTAAAATAAAACATGAAAGCCAAGAAACAAGAAAACAAAGCATTCAAGGAACTGTTTGGCTGAAACAAAATAAAACATCATGGAAATAAAAGAATAAAAAAATAAGTAAAATTTTAAAATAGAAGGTGATAAGAGAGATCCATTCCAGAAACTTCATATAATATGTATAGATATGGCTGGGAAGGTGGGAAAATCGTCATAGGCAAGCTGTTGCATAGAAGCTCTCGGCAGAGGTAACCTCCTTTGTGAGTGGTTTTCAGGCTGTCTTCCAAGAGGCTCTTCAGGTGGTTCCTCACAGGGGCCTTGGGGGATGGGCTGGGGAGGAATAGTCTGTGAGGGACCCACCGGGCCACGCTACCACCAGCCCTCTGCTTCTGCTGCTGCTTCAGCCAAAGAAGCTGTGCCTCTGGCTGCAGAGAATTCAAAGGAGTCTTTGAACTTAGATGAGAGTAAAATTATTTTACCATTCACTAACCTCTCAATAATTAGCATTTCCTTCGGCTGTGAATATAGGCAATAGATCACAGTATTATTTAGCAACGTCTGTGTCTGTCTCACTAATAAAAATCATTGACTATTCATATATCATTATATTTGTTGTAAATAGCTTGATAAGTTATCACTGCTTAGAAATTATATTTGTAATTAAATAACTGCTAGCTAGTGTTGTTGCATGCATTGTTAAAGAAGTACATGTTACCATATCACAAGGTTTTTCAATATTTTGATAATTGTTTTTCACTTCATTGATTTTCCATGTGTTCCTATATGCTTTTATTTTATGCACTTGAAATATTATTCTGAGAAGGGGACCATAGGCTTAATCAGACTGCCAGAGTTCCTGCCACAAAAAAGTTGTTAAGAACCTTGCTGTGAGATCACATTTGAATAAAAGGTCTTTTGCTTCCACTTAGTACTGCCTTTTCTCCCAGGCCTTTTGAAGTTTTCTAGGTATTTGTTTATTCTTCTTACAAAGAAGACTCTTCTTATTTTGGTTTGAACCTTATAGAGTAAGATAAACATGTGGTTGATATGTGTTCTGTTTTCCACATGAAAGATACAGCCAGTCTCCTAAGATTATACGCTCAACGCCCCCCCACCCCCACCCCACTGCCAGAGCAGGAAGAAAGTGTGCAGAAAAGTGAGACGTTTCGGACAGGCCCTGTGATGCTGTCCATGAGACCAGTGCTGGGACAGGGCTGGGCAGGAACACTTCCGCGTGATTTTTGGTAGGACCCCTCACGCCTGTGCTTGGTGGGAGAAGAATGCATATTTCCCCACAGTAGCAGCAGAGAAGGTTTTATGGCACGGAAGAGAAGTGTGAAACAGCTTATGGTGCTGAAAGAAAGAGTTGTCTGATTGGTGGGCAT